GACATTACTTTGAACACTATGAGAAAATTGAAGTAATGGAAATCATGATTGACCAAGGCAGTGGCAAGAAGAGAGGCTTTGCTTTTGTAACCTTTGATGACCATGACTCTATAGACAAGGTTGTCATTCAGAAATACCATGCTGTGAATGGCCACAACTGTGAAGTAAGGAAAGCCCTATTCAAGCAAGAGATGGCTGGTGCTTCATCCAAAGAAGATGAAGTGGTTCTGGAAACTTTGGTGGGGGTCGACAGGTGGTTTTTGTGGGAATGACATCTTTGATCATAGAGGAAACTTCAGTGATCAAGGTGGCTTTGGTGGCAGTTGTGGTGGTGGAGAATCTGGTGACAGTGGGGATAGCTATTCATATAATGGATTTGGTAATGATGGTGGTTATGGAGGAAGCTATGGGAGTGGTGGACAGGGTTATGGAAACCAGGGCAGTAGCTATGGCAGGAGTGGCAGCTAAGGCAACTATAACAATGGAGGCAGTGGGCGCGGTTTTGGCGGTGCCAGTGGAAACAATTTGGGACACGGCGGAAGATACAATGATTTTGGCAATTACAACAATGACTCTTCAAACTTTGAATCTATGAAAGGAGGAAACTTTGGAAGCAGAAGCCCTGGCCCCTGTGGTGATTGATTGCCAATACTTTGCCAAACCATGAAATCAACGTGGCTATGGCAGTTCTGGCAATAGCAAAGCTATGGCAGTGGCAGAAGGTTTTAATTACTGCCAGAAAACAAAGCTTAGCAGGAGAGGAGAGACAGAGAAGTGATAGGGAAGCCACAGGTTACAACAGATTTGTGAACTCAGCCAAGCACAGCGGTGGCAGGCCCTAGCTGCTACAAAGAAGACATGTTTTAGACAATACTCATGTGTAAGGGCGAAAACTCGATGACTGTATTTGTGACGAATTGTATAACAGGTTATTTTAGTTTCTGTTCTGTGGAAAATGTAAAGCATTCCAACAAATGGTTTTCACATAGATTTTTTTATATATATACCCATGCTGTTGATTGCTAAATGTAATAATATAATCATGATGCTGAATAAATGTGTTGTTTTTTTTAAAAAAAAGATATACAAACAAGCATATGAAAAGATGCTCCACATCATAAGTCATTAGGGAAATGTAAATTAAATGAGATACTACTACACACCTATTAGAATGCACAAAATCCAGAACACTGACAATAACAAATTTGGCGAGACTGCTAAACAACAGGCACTCTCTTACATTGCTGGTAGGAATGCAAATTGGTACAGCCACTGTGGAAGACAGTTTGGCAGTTTCTACAAAACATATTCTGATCATGCAATCCAGCACTCCTGTTCCTTTTGGTATTTACTCAAAAAGGAGCAATCCTGCTCCTTTTGGTATTTACTTGGTATTTACTCAAAAGAGATAAAAACTTGTGTCCACACAAAAACATGCACACAGATGTTTATAACAGCTTTATTCATAACTGCCAAATCTTGGAAGCAGCCAAGATGTCCTTCAGTAGGTGAATGAGTAAATAAACTGTGGTACATTCAGACAACAGAATATTATTCAGTGCTAAAAATGAATGACTATGAAGCCATCAAAAAACATGGAGGAAACTTAAATGCATATTATTGCTGAGAGAAGTCCACTTGAAAAGGCTACATACTGTATGATTCCAATTATATGACATTCTGGAAAAGGCAAAACTATGGAGACAATAAAAAGATCAGAAGTTGCCAGGGGTAGGGTAAGGAAGAGATCAATGGGAGAGCACATTTTAGGGCAGTAAAAATACTCTGTATGATATTATAATGATGGATACATGTAATCATACATCTGTGCAAACACAGAATGTGCAGCATTGAGTGAACCCCAAAGTAAACTATGGACTTTTGGTGATTATGACATGTCAATTTGGGTTCATCCTTGGTAAAAAAATGTACCATTCTGGTTACTGATGTCGATAATAGGTGAGACTATGAATGTGTGGGGCAGGGCATATATGAAAAGTCTCTATACCTTCTTCTCAATTTTGTTGTAAACCTTAAAACTGCTCTAAAAACATGAAAGACATAGAAAACAAATAGCAAAATGGATGTAAATGTAACCACATCAGTAATTAATTAAATATGAATAGACTAAATAAACAATTTTTATTAAAAAATAGGCAGAAATTGTCAGCTATACAAATTCTCAAAGACTCTACCTTTTGTGCATACTTTGGAAACTAACTAGAGGCATGTTAAATGAAGTAAACCAAGAAAGAAAAAGAAATGACATCCAAGAAACGGGATCCAAAATAGGAAAAAGGCAAAGAGAGTTTGGAAGATGGTGCTGAATGCTTCAGGATGACAGACAACCAGTCAAGTTTTGGAGTAAGAGGCTAGAAGGCCCTGGAAGAGAAGTCTCTAGCAATAAAATGGAACTGATAAGTTATCTGATGTTAGAATATCTAGACATCAATTTGGTAGAAATTTGACAGATCCATTAGCTCTTTTGTAGAAAAACAGTGATTAGGTATATGGAAAACTAAACAAATAAAAAGCAAGGCAACTATTAACTCCAGAATAAAACAAAAATGTTGAAAACATAATCCATAATACACTATTTGGATCAGCATTCATTCCACAAATATTTGAATACTTACTATGTGTCAGTCTCTGTTGTAAGTACTGGGCTAACTGCAATGACGAAAATAGATCAAATTCCTACTTTCAAGGAGCTTACATTCTAGTGGATGAAGATAGATGCTTTTAAAAAAATTCAATATGTTGTATAAGATAGTGATTCACGCTTTAAAGAAAATTTAAAAGTATACATGGATTAAAAAGTGGGACATGTCTGCTATTTTACATAACGTAGTCAGGGAATAAAGAAATCTTTGAACAGAGTCCCGAGTAAAGGGAAGGAGAGAATGGTTGACTCTCTGCGGGAAAACTTCTAGAAAGAATAGAGTGCGCAGCCCTGAAGCAGGAGTGGATTTTATTTGTTTATGCAACGGAAGGGCCCCTGTGTTGCAGGGGGAGAGGGGTAGGAGAGATCAAACAGGGAGCACAGGATCACGTGGAGCTTACAGGCCCTGGTAAGGACTGTGGGTTTACAGAGCCATAATAATGAAATGAATGATTTAAACAAATTAGTCTAATGTAACTACTGTGGAAATGAAGGGGTGAAGACAAGAGAGAGGTCGTAAGAGAGCTAGCTCCAGGAAGTTGGTAGATAATGTCCGACAATGATAAACTAACAGATGGCAGTGTGCACACATTAACTAGAACCATGGTGGTGAATACCAGAAGAAACAGTGGAAAGGATTTAAAGTGCTTCCACTAGGAGGTGAGGAAGGAGGGAGTATGGGGCTGCTGCTTTGCATTGTACACCTTTAAATACTGTTTGACTTTTTATAAACTATAAACATTTTTTGAAAAGCTTGTGAAATTTCTTTATGAAGGGTGGAAACCTCAACTGTTAAGGTATCAGACATGAAACAGCCCTGACGATGTAGCTAGTGACAGAGATGGGGCCCTCGATGGCCAGGGTTGGAGCAGGCTGTGCAGACTGCCAATGCTCTATCTTCCTAAATGGTATTTTCTAGATCACCATCAACTGCTATTTTTTTCCCCCACCCTATATTTCTTTAGGTCACCACCCAGGCCACGGGGGAAAACAATCATTTTCCTACTAAATAAATTCTATAAAACACTCATAATGTTGACCCAATAGTCTGTCTATACTACTGTAAGTAGGATAAAAGAAACCATGCCTGAATCTTTTTTTTTAACAAAGTGGTGTTTATATAACTATTTTGACTTTTACCAAATATCAATCATATTGATCATATTCATTTACACTAGAGGGCTGCATCAAATCTTATTTTCAAATTATTTTCCAATCAGGTGAAAATGATACTGTGCATTCATTTGCACGTCTTCAATTGCAATGGTTTGTTATCAATTTGTATTATTTGTGAATTGTGTTCATGTCTTTTGCCCATTCTTCTATGGTCTCTTTCTTACTAATTTGTAAAGGCTAAGGGAACATTGTGATAAGAAAACAGCTATTTGGAGTCACTGCCTGGGCATTGTGTGTGTGACAACCCTACTCACATCCAGTGTCTGGACATTTAGAAAAGAACTGAGCTTAGGATTTCCACCCCAAGTTCTGGCTTTGCTTTTCCCAGGGTACCTTTTAAAATAACCACTTAAGAGGTAAGCCTTCAAAAAGGTAGTGACCTCCACCCCAGCCATCTTAAAAGTAATAGGTGCTAGCTACCCTGCTGTCTGTCTCCTGCTCGCTTGTGACCTGGGACAGAGGGCTGCCCTTCCTCCTGGGACAGCTCATTGCCCCCCCCCACCACCCCCACCACCCCATCTCTGGGATCTGTAATAAATCTCGCGATGTTGCTGCCTTTGTGTGCGTGTACTGAAACTGTGCCTTCAATCAAAATGACTCCGTGGTTTTCATTTCCCCAAGATGGGAGCCTGGATGCTGAGGGGGCTCCCTGCCAACTGGGAGTGGCTTGTGCCTCCTCCTTCAGCAGGTTGTAATCTGCATATTCACAATTCAAAGCGCCAGCTGTTTCTCAGCACAAATACTCATTTACCGTCACTGTTACAAACATCTTCCTGGTCTTCTGTTTGCCTTCTGATGTTTATGATCTATAAAATGCTTACGTGGCTGAATATTTTTCTTTCCTAGTTCCCTCCTTTATGTTTTGTTTCGGAAGGCTTTTATACCATGAGATCAGTTACTATTTACCTATCCTCCTTCCCCCCTCCCTTTTATTTACCCATGTTTTCAAAGCCTCGGGGGCCAGTGTTATCCACATGGGCTATATAACTCACTCAGCAGACAAGACTTCAGTGACACAACATAAAGACTTATTTTGTGAGACTGAGTGGATCCTTCTTAATACGGCTATGATTTGGAATCCTCAGTCACATACTGGGTTTCCTGCCAAAATACCCATTTGTTTTCTTCATTCAGCCACCTAACAGCTGTCCCTATTTTTCAGGTGTCCTCGAACCCCGATGGCAAACTTCCAGGGCCACGCTCTCCCAGGGAGTTTCTTCTTGATAGTTGGACTATGGTGGTCAGTGAAGTACCCACTGAAGTACTTTCATCAAAAGGGGAAAAGGAGCCAACTGATTCATTATTATCAGCGTCTAGAGATCATTGAAGCCGCAGTCAGAACTTTATTTTCGGTCATTGGTAAGAATGGAGTCATCTGGTCCAGGGGGTCTCCCCATCATACCCAGAACATTTAACCCATTTTCTGAACCCTGCGAAATGAATGTTTCCCCTGGCAGAGATAATAGAACAAGGATTTTCAGTTGATCACTAAATACATTATAACATCTGTTGTGTACCAAGCTTTGTAATATTAACAGTTAATAGCACCTTACATCTTTAGTGCACTATGGAAAACTACGAAATAAACTACATTCTTTGCCCTGGAAGGACGTAGGTATAAGTTGTAGGAACTGAAGACACACTGTATGAAAAAGATAAAACACAAACATAGAAAAAAATTATGATAGAGTAAGCTCATGTGTGTGAGCTATGAGAAATTACTAAATGGAGTTTTGTTTTAGAAAAATTATCTTCTCCTCCACCCACAACTGTCTCTCCCCTAGAATCTCAAGAGTAGTTAACACCCAACTCACTGGCATAGCCTCCATCCCCAGATCTCAAGCAATTATAGAGAGGGGCGTTTATGCTAGAAGGCAAGTGAGAGAGGCAGCGGAAGCGATTGAAAAAAAGGCAACAGAGGGCAGTTTGGGAAGAATCTTCCTTTACTGTGCCGCATTCCGACAAAATCCACCCATTCCACTCCACTGGTGGCCCCCAAGGAACGGGTAGTGCCAAGAGTAGAAAGTGTTTTTCCTCAGGATTAGCCCATCACGTGAGTAATGAGGGGACTTACTCTGAAATTGCATTTGCCACGTGCCATCTTTGACCTACAGTCCTTGGGAGGAGCCGAAGCAACGACAGTAGCTTCTCTCGGAGTCAGCAAAGGCACATAGCTTTGTTTGCCCAGTCCAGCTGAATTTTCCCAATCACCAGCCATTCAGGCATCAGAAAGGCTTTCTCATCTTTCTGGAGCTGAGAAGTGATAGGGACCATGTGGCTTAAATGGTGAGGAAAGCATCAACTTTGCCTAAATAAAGCTAGAGAAATTGTATTTGGGTGAAAATAATACTCATGAACCAATAATCTCTTGAACTCCTACCATGTGCCAGGAACTTGTTTTAGATATTGGTGATACAGTGGGGGACCATAGTCCCTGCTCTCCCAGGGTTTCCGTTCTAGTGTCACAGAGACTTCCTCTTCCTGGGTTGTTTTCACCAACTCCTTGATCCTTTGTACATAAATTCAGAACGGAGTTGGGTTTGAGAAAAAAAATGGCTGAGGAACAGGATCCAGTATGTTGCCATGAAGGATTTATTCTAGGCCCTAAGAACATTGGGGGCACCAGGTATGAAGGCAAATCTTTTTTTGCCTTCCAAAACAGGTGACAGTTGAAGGGATCAGAACTGAGAACTAGCTATCCTGTGGCCCAGTTTCATCAGTCTTCTGCCCCCAGTCTCTAAAGCTTGCCTCTCCTAAGATACAGTCTGGCTAGAAACAGCAACATGAAGTGTTTAGGACACTGAGAGACCTAAAGCTATAGGAAGGACCCCAGGTCACAGAGCTTGCTCTGTGATTAGGAAGAGCCCTCACTTGAAATCTGCCCTGACAGAAACACATCTGGGAGCTACTTCTCCTCCTCAGGTGTGCACAGGTGTCTCATCACTAGTATCTGCCTGCTCGGATTCTATTATTCTCAACCTAATTGTTTCCTCCCACGATTTCTTTCACTGCTCACTTGGCAGAGAGAGCCCAAAGATTAAAGTATCTGTCACACTCACACTTAGGGGACAATGCTTTGCTTTCAGCTACTAGACAAATTTCTTGTAGACCTGTGTGGCTGCGTTTGTTTCTATTGTTTCTTCTCCTGCTCCTCGACCCTCCACCCTCCATCCAAAAAACAATACAGGCAAGCTATCTACACAAGTTCCTCAGCTAATACCTTTATACTGAGGCAGCTGCATTTGAGGCAACAAAGTAGGTCCACCTTCACCCACATCTCGACTTTGTCCGTGACTCGGGGTTATTTTTTTGCTGTCTGGTATTTGTCTTGGAACTACCCTTCCCTCAGTTTCCACTGTCATTTCCCTGCAGGGATCCTGGCAGAGCAGTTTGTTCCAGATGGACCCCACGTCCACCTGTACCATGAAAATCACTGGATAAAGTTAATGAACTGGCAGCACAGCACCATGTATCTATTCTTTGCAATCTCAGGAATCACTGATATGCTCACCTATCTCGTAACCCACGTTCCCTTGGGGGCTGACCGATTGGTTATGGCTGTGGCAGCATTCAACGAAGGTAATTTAGTGTTAAGGATGGAAAAAAGGAAGCGAGAAACTGACGAGTTGTTTTTACAAGGGATCAGGGCACAAAAGACCAGAACTATTGCAAATATAATAACCTTCCCCAGAAAAAAAATCCAAATTTCTGAACTTCAAAAACCTGAGCAGGACTTGGTCCTTTGCTCTGGATGGATGCTTTATTCCATAAAGCAGCACGTGAAAGAACGAGGCTTTTAGTCAAAGTCGCTGGCTAATAGTACACAAACTCCTTGCCCTCCCCAAGCCACTAGGTGCTCATGTGTGTGATTGCATGTGTGCACACCCACATGGAAACATACAAGAACTATCTGAACATACAAGACTGGTTGAATGCCACCACGCAAGACTGTAACTCTCTGTGATTTGGGAAAAGAAACTCTGCACTCCACCTCCCACCCTGAAGTGTTATTGTCTGGACTGCCTCACAAATAGGAGACCCACCCAGCAGCTAGGACAGGTCTCCCAATATAACTCATATTAACTGGAGTCATGAAAAAGCATTTTGTAATCCAACCACCTCATTTACTTCTGTACCACACTCAGGAAGAGTAAAAGAAAGTTGAATGAGGGCAAAACTGAATTTCAAGTACACACACACATTTTGTCACACATCAGCAACGTTTCCCTTACCCGTCCTGTATTGAACTGAGATTTCAAAAGATACATTCTTTGCTGCTTATACCCACTTCATACACACACACGAAATACACTTAATCTGCGTATTTGTTGCCCTGTAATGTTATATAAACAAACTGACTTCCCAAGTGCTGAAAAATCTAGCTTTGAAACAGGTATAGGAGGAAATTCTAACAATGGAGAAAGTCCAGAATGAATGCTCTGAAGTAGAAACAAGCAAAGCTCTGACGGCTGCTAATTGGCTTTGTGGCAGGTTTTCTCTTCTACCACCATGTTCATAACCGACCACCATTGGACCAGTACATCCACTCACTCCTGCTGTGTGCTGTGTTTGGGGGGGCTCTCAGTATCTTCTTAGAGGTGATCCTTCGGGACAATATTGTGCTGGAACTTTTCCGGACCAGCCTCGTTATTCTTCAAGGCACCTGGTTCTGGCAGGTAATTATTCAAACAATGCTTCTCACATTGTGTGGATCAAGAGGCCCCACCGAGCGTCAGTGAAATCCTGGCAGTGCAGCACTAACATACCACGTGGATGCATTTAGATGGCTGTTTTTCTTACCATGCCCGCCCCCGACCCATGTACCTTTATCCATTAATACCCTGCTGATGCTTTAACAAGCAGAATCTATGAAACAAACACAGTGAACAGATTAAATATTTCCTTATCTGCCCTCCTTAATGCAGGTATTGATACCATCTACAGGCTCCACTTGCTAAACTGTTCACCTGAAATTTTGACTTAAATAAGCCTATACGGAAACCAGAATTAACTTAGAGCAGTTTTCCTGTGCAAAAGGCTTTTCTGTGCCAATGTGGATATGGGACATGAGGTAGTGGGGACCGTCTGGACACCGCTTGTGGCCACTAGGAAGCTAGGTTGCTTTCTCAGGACTGACAAATGACAAGGCTGACTTCCCTGTATAACCCCCCAGATTGGGTTTGTGCTGTTCCCACCCTCTGGAGCGCCCACCTGGGACCAGCAAGACCACGCGAACATCATGTTCATCACCATGTGCTTCTGCTGGCACTACGCAGCTGCCCTCTGCATTGTGGCCATCAACTACTCTCTTGTTTGCTGGTATGTCCAAGACATGACGACTCTGGTCAAGCTTTTTCATCCTAGCCAACCCCTGCCCCGGGAATATATTACACGGCATCATTTTTATTTCCAGTGACCCACCTTTTGTAACTAAGCAGTGTTAACCTCTTCCACTTAACAAGTACCAACTGCATGGAAAGTTCTGTGCAAGGTACTCTACCCCTGCAAACGAGGGTGATGAGGCTTTAAGAAGGTTAAGGACCTGTCTGGTCACAGTAACCTGTGATAGACCCAGGTTTCTGATGTAGTTCTGACAGATTTTTAAGCCTGTGGCATGATAGGAAAAACTGAATTAGGCATCAGTACTGGATGGCAGTCCCTGCTCCATCCCTGGTTCATTGTGAGCCCATCCCCTTATTCCTGGATTTGCCCTGCCTACTTCCCAGAGCTGTTGTGCTAGTGAGATACCACAGCAGTAAGTGCTCTCTGAAGTGCTCTTCAGATGTTATTATAATAGCTAATAATTCTTATGTACGTTCTCCCAGGCACTGTGGGAAGCACTTAAAGTGTATTACCCCATTTAATCCTATCACTTTATGAAGTATGTACTGTATATTTTAGTTTCGAAAGACAGTAATTTGATCAAGTTAACCCAATGGGTAAATGGCAGAGGCTGTCTTGAATCACAGTGAAGAGTGACTTTTAGCTTATTAGTTCTGTTGTCGCAGCTGCCCCTCTTCCTGGTTCCTGATTTCCCTACCCAAAGCAGATATACTTCACTTCAGAAGTTCCACACGGATCAACTAGAAGGCAACTCAAGGTCATACTTCTAGTTCTATGGTTAGTGAAACAATAAAATGGGAGGCAGGAGACCAAAGTTCAGGCTCAATTACAACATTAACTATTATTATATTATTAACCATGGTCTCTTTACCTATCAAAGAATACTGTTCGAGAAGTCAGATATGTAGACAAGTAATCACAATATCTGATAGAGATATTAAAAAAGTGCTTTAAGAACCAGCAGATGCTTTCACTTCCTTGGGTGAGGGAATGAGGGAGTCTGGGGCTAATTTATTTGTTTCTCTTTTACAGCCTTTTGCCTCGGTTCAAGAGGCATGGAGGAGAAATCATTGGGATTCGGAAGCTGAAGTCAGATCACACTTGCCAGAAGGCCCTTTTGAGTGGCTCAGATGAGGAATGAGAGGCCATCAGTCATCAATGGGGGTGGGTTCCTTTGAGCACAAACAGCTAGTGTTCAAAGGTATAGCTCATCTTTAATGCTTGCATTTTAATGCTTGCTTTGGTCTGCTCTTACAGTTCTATGTATTTGCACCTTCTTAGTTGACTAAAGTGTGTGTGGGCGTGGTATCGTTCATAAAGCAAAACGAAGCAAGGCTGTGTCTCTCAGAAATCAGAAACTGAAAGTTTCAGAATAGGAAGTGGCTTCATGGACAAATCCAAAATACGAATCCAGCAGAACTTACTGCTTTTGATGATGTAACTTTTCTTTCTTAAGAAAGCAGGTGGTTTATCAGAAAGTAAGGGAATGGCAGTGCCTTTATTTTAGAGATGCAATTCTAACATGTGTTTTTGAAAAGTAGTAATTCACAAGCTTTGGTATTTTCAATGTTCCTTGTTAAAACATCTCCTAACTAATCATAGTATTCCAGAGTACTGCAATACCACTGTTGATAAGTGATAAAGTTAAGCCAAAGGCGATTTTTTTTTTTAATTAGGAAGCTAGTTAGTGGCCCAGCTGAGAGCTGGAACTCAGATGTTCTGATTCCTCAAAAGTACCCTCGTAAGACGATGCTGACAGGAAATCTGTATAATGAGGTAGAGAGAAAAATGTCAGGCCTTGAATTTAAATACAGCTGAAAGCACACGATAAGAATCTTGAACTAGTAATATAAGTTTTTATACTCTAGTCTTGGTTCTGGATCTGTTCTTTTTTTTAAAACTTCCTTCAACGAAGATTTATTAAACATCTACTTTGCATTGGCACTGAAATGGTTGTAAGTATTAACAAATATGTGTCCAGCAAGGAATCCAGTCTAATGGGAGAGCTATGCCAGCAGTTCCATACAGGGTGACTGGTGCCAACAGGGTAAGTACATACAACCACGCGAGATAAAGGAGGGAGGACAAATGGAAAGTTTGCCCCATAGAAAAACCACAGTCAAGGCCAAGAAAACAGTCTGCACAAAGGCAATGAAAGAAAGGAAGAACATGCAGAGTTAAATGTATTAAGTTCTATAAACTGGTAAAAGTGGGTTAGGACTAATTTGGAAGGTCTTATAGACCAAACAGTACCGTTCATTTGTTTGGCATTTTTCAGATTTTGAAATATGTATCTCACTTGTTTCTCACAACCACCTGTAATGTAAGTACATCAGGTTCTTCAGAGAAGTTGATTAGCCTAAGGCCATACAGCTACTAAGTTGTAGAACCAGTCTTCAGTAGAACTCAAAAGCCAGCTTTTTTCACCTCTGTCCCTCTGCTACTTGACATAAATATGGCAGAGATCATTTATCTGAAGCACTGTATGCGCTTGAAGAAATACTGTACTCAGTGAAAGGTAACCTCCCGTAATTAGCCAGCATTTCAGAGTTGAAGTCACAGCTTAGGGGTTAAGAATGAGGTACTTGAAAACATCCATTTAATTTTTAGAGAACCTGTGGGTCCCCTTTCAGGATCCACTCTGGTTTGCTTGCTGAGTAGAAACCTAAACATTCATTCAACAAGTACTAGAGGACCTACTGTTGGCAATTAATGTAAAACATGTTCTTTCCTTAGGGACTGGAGGTGGGAAGAAGGAACCTATTCTTGGCTTTACTCCCCAAGTAAAGATCTCTACTTTGATTAAAAAGGGGTGGGGCAGAATACTTTAAGGAAATGCAGTATTTTCTCCAGTGAGATGAGGTGTGAAGATTAAATATAAAACATTAAAATTTATTTTGATGCCCCTTTCACAGCATGTTTGGGGATACCTACACAGAAGTGGTCGACTCTTGCATAAACATTCTTAGATGTGGTATTAAAGTACAAACTCATCACAATGCTATTCTCCAAATGCAGTCTTAGACATATGGTCTACATTTTACCAACCTCTTGTCAACCAGAGGTTCAGAGGCTCAATGGCCGCCTCAAGTTCTTCTGGAATCGTTCCCACCGAACACCCAACAGAGTCACTGCTTCTGTACAAGATCCCTGAGGTCTGAATTGAAGGAACCGTGTTTGGTGCAAATGCTGGCGACATCACTTGAGCTCCAGTAGGGGATTTCCCCTCTATGCTGCTCCACTGTCAGGCTGACCAGTACCCAGTTATGCTTTCCGGGGAGTCAGTCCTACACTGGTGTCCTCAAACATACCTGTCCTCAGATATAAACGGCTGCGGGCAATAAAGAGACCGGCAGTCAGGTGACTTCAGTAAGTGTGAGGGTAAGGTTGCGGCTGAATGCCAGAGCTATTTTTATGAAATCATTTGTTAAGCAAATTCAGAGGAAGTTTGTTTTAACCAGCAGTAAATACCTGAGACAGGATTCTTCAAATTTCTACCTTTTTGTCATTTAGAAGCTGTCACATGGACTTTTCATGTGACATGGGGCTCTAAGAAAGAATGACCTGAAAATATGAAAGTATTATAAAACACAAATGCAGTCTCCTTTACTCAGATAAAAGACCAATGTGTCTCCTTTACTGCAGTCCCTACCTCTCACCATTACCAATCTTATTTCTGTGCCAGCCCTCGACCACCCCGCAAAAGCTCAATCTTCCCTCAGCCAATTCTTCTCTGCCCTTTGTAATCCAGGCTTACCACTGTTAATTCTGGCTCATCCCCACGTCCTACCATAACACATCCTAGCATCCTCTCCTTAGGAAGGCAGCAGAAAGGGCACTTGACTTAGAAGGCTGGATTTACATCTTGGTTCTCTAACTTCAGCTGAGACTCGCATTTTCTCACAAACAGGGACGATACTATCTATTTGATAGAACTGCTTTAAGATTCAAATGAGATGTCTGTAAAATCAGTGTCACCAACAAGCCACTCTGTCTCTGCTCCTCTGCAACTTGCCTAATCACTCAACTTCCACTCAGCAACCCGCTCTAAACTAGGCCATTCCAATTTTTTGCCCTCCAATTCCACTTCCTCACGCTGACCCCATGAAGTATCATCACTAAATTTCCACAGCTTAAATGCATTTTTAATCATCTGGATACTTTCAAGAGATAGGGAAGCCCTGTCAACGCAGAAAGGCTTTACCACCCAACCCCTTCTCCAATACAAAAGAGGCATATATTATTAACAGCCAGTGCTTTAATTAAATGACATTTTAAAATTTCATTCTGAGCTCTGCCTATAACTTGATGGAGGCTGAGAAGTGTGAAACAGCCAGGATTAAATGACTTGTAAATCCAGATTGACTTCTTCTGTGGTTGGTGCTGCCTAGGAGGGACACCTACCCTCTTCTTGCCATCTCTACTCTGGAGTAGAAGTCAGCAAAGTTTTACATAAAGGAACACATAAAAAGTATTTTAAGTTTGAGGCCATGTGGTCTCTATGACAAGTATTCAGTTCTGCCTTCAAACTGAAAGCAGCTATAGATAACACATAAACGAATGGCCATGGGTTGTGTTCCAATAAAACTTTATTGACAAAAACAGGTTGTCAGTCCAAGGGCTGTGGTTTGCTGACTCTTGTTCTGGAAAGAAGAATGTATAATCTCGGAACTGCAATAAAGTGTGTGCTACATAAGCAGCATCTCTGCTGGCATTCACCTACTGTGTCCACTGGCTCTGGGCTTGCATGTGAACAGGCTTGATAAGGAGGACAAAGTCAGCCGGTGAAGATACAGACCACAATCAGGATCTTGATACCCCACCTTTAAGAGGTAGTGCCAAACTAATCCCATTTCAGGGAACCCACACAATCTCACTTCCTATGTTTCTTCCCCATCGTAAAGCCTCTCCATTACTACGTAGTTATCAAGTAAGCCACCAGCTTTTAAGAATCTTGCTCTTCTTTCATTCTGGTCAAAAGAATAAGTCATCAGTTTAGGGGGGCAAAAGCCCAGGTTTCTATTTGACAAAGATGTACAATAAGTTCTTTAAAAAAATAGGTTACGTAAAAATTTATGGACACAAAACCCCTATCCAGATCACTAGTCACAGGAGAAGACCAGAAGTTAAAAAATATGATCCACATATAGAACAAGGCTTCTTCACTGTCTGTACTCTGCAACTGGAAGCCCTCCCTTGGCATCCTACTCTCAGGAGAGAACTTTGGCTTGTGTGACACAACTGTGACCTCACACAATTCTGAGAGATGCTTCTCCCGGACCGGTACAACCTGGAGGGAACCGTTCTCAGTGTCCTCCACTCTGAAGCGTGGCAGCAGAATCCCAGCCACTACTGCCATCATCCCACTACTGGCCTTCCTTAGACAGACAAGCTTAGAGGGAGGATGCAACCTCCCTCCTCCCTTCCTTTTAGCCAGAAGGGCAGACCAGGTAGGGGCTTTTATGGAAGCCATCTATCTCTCGGAATCACTGTTGTTCAGGTGCCTGCTTAGGAGATGGAGCTGTGGTCACAACAACAGTGGAGACTGCTTTGGAGGAACCAGAAGCTGTTCCCTGTTGAAGATGCGATGCAGGGACAGTCTGGATGCGCACCTGTTTGCAAAGAGAGAACGTCTGGTCAGCAGACTGCAAATAGGCTCATCAGTTGACAACAAACAGCAAGGAAGATGGAGAAGCCTGGGATGGCCAATAGTGCGCCCTGGACCTTACCTGTGTGGCCTGACCTTGCTGCTGAAGCTGCTGCAACTGCTGGGCAGTGAGGAAACTCACAGGTTTATTGCCAGCAATGAGTTTAGTACCTGCTGGCATGGTGGTGAGGATGATATTGCGGCCCAACCCACTGAGGCTGTGGAGGAAAAGCAGGAGTGAGGTACACGACAGGACGGGGGATTGTGTCCCGCCCAGAATGAGGCCACGTGTTGAAGGAAAACAGGGAGGTCTGGTGCCCAGGGAAAATTCCAGCATTCTGGATTGGAATGGAAACCAGCTGGTGAGACTACCTTTCTTCCAGCTTCTAAATATGACAGGAGGAGAGAACAAGCCCAAAGACTCCCAGTGCTTTGGATAAAATGGCCCTAGCATGCATACCCTCATCAGGACAGGGCCCCAGGGAGGTGTGTGCTCCTGACAAGAAACCCTCCACCAAAACAGCTGCCTTGAGACCATCAGAATGATTTCGTCATGCTCTTTATCCCTGTTTAAGTCAGGGCCACAGGAAGCCCAGGCTCCCATATGAGCCTTCCTCCTCTGACCTATCACACCACAGGGCTGGAATGTCCAAATGAGGCCTTCTTTCCCGAGCACCCACACTAGAAATTGCCATCTGAGCTATGTCTCCGCCAACCCCAATCCCAGCACTTCCCGTCCTTCCTTGCTTTTTCTCCATAGTACATCTCACCACCCCGTATAGTAATTTTACTTTATGATTTCTTTCCCCACTCTAGAATATAAGTTTGAAGACAGCATGAATTTTTGTCAGTTTTAATCACTGCTGTATCCCCAGCACCTAAAACAATACTAGGTGCTTAATAAATCCTGTTGAAGAGTCCAACGAAGGACAGATATCAAAGCAGGATCCCAAGAAAACCAGCCACCTTCCTACTGTGCGACAAGGAGCCACCCAGAAGCACTATCCACCCATCACTACAGCACTTACTTAGCTCCAAGGTTGCCTTTGATGATGGGGGCTGTGACCACACTTTTGCCCTTCATAGGCTGGCTAATCACAGAGAGTGGAACTGTGATCCGTGTAGGCAGCTTCCCCTAGAGAGAGAAAACAATCAACTTTATGGCACAGATCAGAAAACCACCAAGTGTCACTTCAGGGCTGTAAGAGATGAAAAGCCAGCACTCAAAGATATTTCATTCCCTGTACTCTGCAGGGTCCCAATATTCCTGAGGTATGGCCCAGGGAGCCCTCATAAAACTGCGGCTCATATGCTGTAGGTAAGAGCTCCTATATTAGGGCTCCTATTTAGGGGTCACCTGATGTTATCATCCTCTTTCATGCTTTCTAAAGCAGCAGCAACCATATATAACTACTCTCATCGGATTAAATGTGTACCTAACTCACAAAGGAAAGTGGATGCTTGCTTAAGCCTAGTAAGAATCTGAGCTCCTTAGAGGGTAGGCTCTTATTACTCATTTGCATAACCCCCGATCCTTGGTACTCAACAACCGTTTGAAGTAAATGTGAGAAAGGACAGAGGCACTCAAGAGTTAATATAGGAAGAGTGTAACTACTGTTTCACTGGCAGGCAGGCTCACTGGTGGGGGGCACACAGCAGGGCACGCTAGATGAGGAAGAGATCACATTCTCCAGGTGCTTTCCATTTCTCCCAGAGATAAGACAGGCTAGTTAGGGGACATTAATAATAAACTCAGCCAAATGAAAAGTCCAACCCCAAAGCTAGTAACGCCTAAGAGGTATAAAAAGTTAGTCTTTGGGATTTCAATGCATCACCTGTTTTTAGGTTGCCTGGTTTTTAACGCTTGATTGGTAATAAAATCACATACAGTAAAATCCTGTGTAAATCTCATTTTAAAAAACAATTTAAGAGGGGCCGTTGATAGGATGCTAAGAAAAAGCATGGACATTTCCTATGGACTAAATCAGGCACTCAGGTGCAAAACTATCTCACAGTTGACTCAAAATTTATAGCCCATTAGAAAGCACTTAAAAGATGTGAACAGGCAACAGAATACCACGAGATGGTGCCTCCAGGTAGACTGACTTAAGGTTTTATTTTCTTAATGCCTTAGCTGC